TCCATCTAAGAATAGTTGAGCCCAACTTCTACTCTTTAAAGAAAACAGAAGCAATCATTTTTAACTACCGTGAAAAAGTGCTGCTTTTTACCTATTTTATGCAGGACACTGTACATGTAGCACAAAATCACCGCTCTCACTGGTCACAGTTTAGTAAGCAGGTTGATGACAGACTGCATTTTTGAACCATTTTTAGAGAATAAGGAGTGTATCTCTGATAAGGACATGTGGTAACTCTTGGAGGACTTGTTTTCATTTCTACAATAGCAACAGCTGTGCAGAGAATAGAGGACATGGTGAGAGATGTATTTTTAAATTCCTTTTTGGTATGAAATCAGAATTTCGTTGTGGAAGCTGTATTTGAGTTAAATCACAAATTGTGTGTGATAGAGAAATCAATCTCTCAGATTTTGTGTCAGAATCTATCCCAGAGTTATAGCTTTGGCTTCTTATATTACCACTTGTTTATCAGTGAAGATGTATTTAAGATACAGTCAGAGTATACTGTTAGTTATTTAAAGAAAAAAATAACTCTTACAGACGAATAAGACGTGGCATGAAAAATTGCAGGGTTTGTCAGACTGTCATCAGCAAACCTGGTCAGCAGAACTGTGATGCAGTGAGCATTAAACTGATCCTGAGGGGTTTCTGGAAGAAGAACACCTAAAACAGAGAATGAGGAATGCAGTTTTTCTAGCAGGGGAAAAGACAGGTAAAACAGAAGACATTTATAAGACTGTTGTATAATTGTTAATGCCACTTTTTTTGCCTCTCTAAAGTTCCAGATAAAAGAAATAGCAAGATGTGTAACATTTCAAATTTTAGCCAGTATGGGGATTTCTAAAAAGTTCTTATGTGTACTCCCTCAGAAGTATTTTGATGTCCTTCCTCTTCATCTTCACACAATGTGAACAGTGTGTAAGGAGTTGTAACTTCCAAACTTTACAGTCAGTCTGTTTTAATATGAAACATTCTAGTACAGAGCAAGCTTTCTACCTGCTTCAACATCTTGGGTGTTTCTTAGATTGTTTTCAGTTTTCAACTTATCATACTGATAATTCTTGTAGAAAACATTCAAACATTCATAATTAGCTGGGTTTTTTTTTTTTGTTGTTGTTTGTTTGTTTTTAGGAGAGTTTGGTGTTTTTTTGTTTGGTTGGTTATTTTATTTTTATTTTTATTTTTTTAATTTATTTATTTATTTATTTTGAGAGATGGAAATTTTCTGCACACTGTGCTTGAAACACAAGCTGCATTCAGTCAGGAAAAGTTACCTACATTTCTTTTCACTTAAGTCATTCACTTCCTCTTTAATGCCTCCATATCCACTTCAGGGACAGGTAGCTTAATTTCTATCATCTGTAGCTTTACAGAGTATTAACTTTGCTACACATGCCAATGATTGAGCTATACTAGATGTGCTTGAAAAAGCCTACACTCTGCACTGCTCATTCAGGAAACCAAGAGTGAAGTAAACCCATATGTGTGTTTAAAAGTTTAGTGTTCAAACAGGGCTTGTGTTTTCTGGCTCTTGCTGATATCATGCCCAATACATATTGGAAGAGCTGCAGTAGTGATGGGGTTTTTGATAACACAATGTATGGCCTGTTCATTCTTTTCTTCTGGCAATGTGATGCTTTGAAAAAACATTCTTTTTCATTTTGCCCCAATGTTAAGAGTATTTTCCTGTCCTGTTAATTTTTAAAAGGATTCTTAACGTAAAATAATCCATGTAATTAAGCAGAAAAAAATATTTAGTTTCTCTGTCAGAATTAAGCCACGATTGCTGAATTTTCTGCATTTTATTTCAATATCTAAAACATAGAATCAAAAGTGAGATAGATATTTTACTAAATTCTTAGGCTACACCAAAGCACTTAGAAAACAAAAATAAGTGTCTATTGAATTTCATCTGATTTTTAGTAGATTGTGATTTAGAAAAATCACATTTGTCATGCATATTTTGCAGCAAGATAGACTTTTAGATAAACCTGGTCTATCACTAATCTGATATCCTTTCCTCATATGAGATGCTCACATGAATAAAGAAAGGCATGTCTAGACGGATTTTGCATAGCTGTATTTCATATACAGCTTGACAATTAGGCCAGATAGTAGCTGTAATTTTAATGGGTTGGCCAAGTATATCATTGTATTTCAACAGTAAGTTACAAAGTAAACACTGAATGGTGTTAAAAGGAAATCTCTATTTAAGCTCCTGAAATATCTGAGGCAATACGTAGCACTAATGGAGATGCAAAATGGAGTGGGATGGTATTTTCCAGTCATGACAGCTGAAGTGTTGGCTGTAGGATGAAAGCTTTTCTGAACTTTTTAATAAGCTGTTCTTTACAGTACGTTCCTCAGAAATTCAATTTGAATTTTGCATGAACATGAAACAGAATATGACATCCAAGCTTATAATAATATACATTTTCAGTCTAGTTATATGCACGTCGGTATGTTACTTAATTTATAATATTATAACCCTGTACTAAGATATGCAGCTTCATAGCTTGGCTACCGTTGGCTTTGAAAGTTTACATTTTGTTATATGCATCACGCCCAAGAGATCAGCTAAAGTATCCTAAATTTCCTGTGCACATTCAAGTGGTCATTTTTGAAAATTCCTCAGGAAATTCTGTTTTTTGTTTTTTTTTTTTGGTTGCCCATCCAGTCCAGGTACAATTAGCAGTGATTCCAATAGTCCGAGCAAAATTGTGCAGTGGAAGATATTTGGCCTTACTGTCCTGGCTCAGTCTCCTCACACTCAGCTGAAAGCAGAACATGATAAATGCCATATCTCAGCCAATACTCTGTGTTCAGAGGTTGGAGAAATTGCCGTCTCATGTCAGAGCAGACAACTGTCTTGAAGGGTGGGTACTCTCAAGCTGTGGTTACATTTTTAACTTAATCGGCCTTCCTGGAAATGAATCATAGTCCCTTTGAGGATGCAGGCTCTTGCTCGTGCCCTGGTTTACCTAGCAACTGCCACTGAATCATTTTCGTCAGCCACTCCTTCATGTTATCCTTAATTTGTTAACCATAAAAATGGCAAGACAATACTCCTTCCCAGACCTCTTGTTGATATTTCTTTATTTTAAAGTACTGCACTGTATTTTTCAAACTTTATTATGGATTGATTAAATTGATTTAACCAATGACCTCTACTTATTTATTTCCTTATTTGTTTTAAAAATAAAAATTGATTTCACAATTGCTTTAAAGTATCAGAGAGAAAACCTGGAGTTCTACGTAATTCTAAGTATGGCATGATTTTTTTTACTATTTGATTTCTTTATTTCTTGCTGTACTTTCCTGAGTTACCTACTGATTCCTGCCTTACTCTAATAACAACAAACATAATAAATCAACAGATATCAAGCTAATGATGCTTAATTGTGCAATATTTTGAGATTCTCGGTTGAGAACATAATGTGCTCTTATTATTAACATTATGTGTTCTTATTCTGAACTTCGCAATGCATGAAGCCCATGCTTTTTATTCAGGCCTACTGTGAACAGGAACTATTTTCATTAGTTCTGCTGCGTGCACACAAAATTGATCAAAATTACAGAAAACTCAGGTCCAGTAAACTGAAAAATAAGATTGTTTTAGTCACTTGAAATATAATATTGTTGTAACAGTAATGATGAAAACATTTGGCAAGTGTAGAGAAGATCAAACTACTTTCTGTTTCAAATGACTAATCAGAGAATTTCTCAGAACCTCCACAGTTGACGAGCAGTTGTATCCATTTTCAAGCTCTTAATTTCTTCTTTTATTCCCCTCCTTTTTTTTTTCTTTTCCTATATTTCTTTTTAAGGAAATTAGGAACAGAAGCTGATGGTTCAAACTGAAAACATGTCTCAGTGTAATTGGAAGTTGTCCAAATAGCATCTGCCACAATATTTTGTCTATCCCTAAACATTTTTCTTTTCATGATAAATTTGTGCAGTGTGATACAACCAAATGCACTTCTCATGGAGCATCAAGGAAGTCTGGCTGCCTCTTTAGATAATTTTTTCAGACTGTTTCACACCATCACATCAGCTTGGCATAATATCATAGAAAGGATATGCAACATTTCATTTATACTTTAGTGCGTATTTCAGCAAATCAATAGTTACTAAAAATAGATTTAATAAGTAAAATGTTGGGACTCTCGTTGAAGCTGTAGAGCAGAGCTGCTTAGCTGTATTTACAAGATTTTCTTTGTATTTTGTATTTGAAATATCTTTATAGTGTTTTATCTTTACATAATATTCATGTAAAGTTTTATAATGACACTTTCTTGTTTAGCATGTGTGCACGAGTGAGAATTTTTTCTACTTTAACCAACAACACTTACTGTTATTAAGTGAGACCTATAAACTTTCAGTCAAAACTCAGCCATCCATCAGAACTTGAAATATATCATTTGAATTTCATTTTATTTTTTTGTCCATGGGAAGAATAACTAGCGAAATTAATAAGCAGTGATTTCAATCATTTAAAAATGATGCCTGCCTGGGTCAGAAAGATGAGAGATCTTACTGCTTCTTTTAAAACCACATAATGATCCAGGCCGCCAGCCAGTTTCTGGTGGCACCCTTTTTTGGGATGGCGGTGCCCATTGCAGTGGGATGCCATGTCCCTTACCAGCAGCCCTGTCCCCTCCAGCATGAGGGAGGACTCAGCACAGGGCATCTGCTGGCTGGTGAGCAGGACCAGACCCGGCCAGCATAACACTGTTTGTAATAAGAAATCTAAACAGGGAATGGCAGCGAGGCATGACAGGAATGTGTTTCCATTGGAGAAGCCCGTGCAGAGAAAAAGCATAAGCAAAGCCATGTCCAGAAGGCCTTTCAACTGGCCCGGATGGAAGACTGATGTTATTGTACATAGGCTGTCACGCTGCCAGCCCTCCCTCATGGGTTTGTTTTCTCTCTTGCTCTCCTTCTCCCTCTCCCTCTCCCTCTCTCCTCTGCCCTCCTCTTGGGGCTGGCTGTTTGCTCAGGTGGACAGTGACACCGTTTGGAACGAACTGCACTCGGCTGGGGCGGCACGCATGGCAGTGGGCTGTGTCATCGAGCTGGCGGCCCGTGTGGCCTCCAGGGAGCTGAAGGTGAGGTCCGGGCCACGCGGTGGGTGGGAGGCAGGGAGGCAGGGGGCTGAAGGCAGACCTTGTTTGCCTGCTCAGCTCTGCTGAGCCACTGGAAGAGAACGGAGAGGATGGCCACCAAGGTGTGGCAGACCCAGTGGCTACTTGAAGCTGCTGGTGGGACTCACCAGGATCTATTTACCCTTGATGCTCTCAAATAACATTGTTCTCTTCAGAGTGCAGGGTTCTACAGCCTGAGCTGAAGTTACTCTTTGTGTGCATGTAGCTGACAATTTGCTGTGGATCTGCCTTTTGAAGTGATTTGTTTTAAATATGACTTAGTCACATGCATGACATCAGGGTACCACCCAGAGTGGGGGGAGGCAATCAGTGTGTGAGCAGGTTGTGGGGGAAGAGGGATGCTGTTGACCAGGAGAGTAATGATCCAGAATACACCTTCCGTGTGGCAGCTCCACGCTGACTGCCCTTCATTGTTCTTTCAGGCTGCCTCCTTGTCCCTATCTCCTTCCTGTACGATCTGCAAAGAATGATGTACGAAATCCAAATTAACCCCAGTCTAAACAATTTATAAAAGTTCCAGACCTGACGGACTTTGACATTTTATTTGGTATTTTAACAGCCCCATTTAAAGGTACACCATATGCAGCCCGAATAGTCTTGCCCCAATAAACACTGTTGGAGCTAACATGTCTCCTTAATGAAATTGATTGTATTCTTTCCAGTTTAAACACTAATGGATTCAGTCCTGTTTCCCAAGACAAGATACAAATAAATATTTTAGAATTAGCATTATGCAATGATTTTTTAAAACTCCAATATGTAATGAAACTTGGGAATTTGCTTCCTCTACTTGTCTCATTTCAGTCAAAATATATTAGCTACTTATCAGATGAGGGTCACATATGTTTGTGTATTTATAAATAGAATATATATGTATGTAAAAGAGCATTCAGTTGAAACACAGTTATATATCCCTGATCAAATCGAACAATTATTAAACTTTTCTGTTCAGATACTAAAATCATTAGCCAGGTGCTGCACCAAACCCGTTTAAGTTTTGAAATCTCAGATCCCTTCAGGAGGGGGTATATCAGTATGGGATCTTGTTATGTACCTTCTTTGATTATAGGGATCTCATCCCCATTAAACTTTCTTAACTCATTTGCATCCAAAACACAGCTCATAGCAAATTATTCTCCCTCAATGGCACTAATGAAAATTTTTAGCCAATTTTTAGTTTGTGACTGTAGGGCATATGACAGTATTTAAGATGATATACAGCAAGTTTTGATTAAAATTAAGAGATGTGCCAAAGATGTAGTTGGCATAAGCAGGACTGGTGCAGAATCTTTACTGCTTATCTCTGTGCCTTTGTGGTGTCTTTCCACAGTATGAATGCTCTGTCCCTCTTATCTGTGTGAGGGACAGCTGAAACAAATCAAACATCACCCACTGCAAGACCATGGTTGCTACTGGAGTTGCAACAATTTCTAAATAAATGCTTTAAGTTTAATACTAATGTGTCATCATATGGCAAATTGCAATAAGGATTTTTTTTCAGTGTATTCTGGAACTTTCTACATGGTGTCCAGGTTGAAATTTTAGTTAGCTGTGAAACTTTGGCTCCACAGATGTTCTAATATATTTCTAGGATAACTTTAAATGTTACTTTTCCATCTTGCTGCTATTTTTTTGTCTAGATACATATAGTGCACAGATCATCTAATTCTAGTACAAGGAAAATGCCAATTCTTTAGCATACTTGTGAAGATCTGAGGGGAAGTAAGTGAAGAGACTGCTTCTGTACACATTCATTCAGCAAATATGCATGTGAGGCATCCTTCTGGAACACTGAGTGGGAGGATTAAGCTGCGATGGGAATCTGCAAAGATCTGACACATCTTCAGAATCCTTGGATGACAAAAAATGCCTTCCAGTATTGTGTGTAAACTGTAACAGCTCTGCAGCATGTAAGCAGAAAGATGACAGCAGCAGAGAAATGTGCTGTTAGTTTTTCCCTGGAAGTTTATTGCCATGGATTGTTATCAGATGGCGCGCTGTCAGTTTTTTGTCATCTTAAGAAGAAAAGTAAATTATGAGACAGGATACACAGACTTGTTCTGAAATCCCAGAGTTCCCTGAGAAGCACTCCTGCAGTTCACAACATCAGACTTAAAATGCACAGCAGGAACTTAGCACAGGGCAACGCTTCAAACAGCAGCAGAAGAGGCAGTGGATTATCTCTCTGCTCACTGCACTGCAGAATGAGAGCCAACATGAATGCCTTCCTCTGAAACAGCCATGGCAAAACTGGGCAACCTTAGAGTAAAAATTTCTAGCATGTACAGAGTCTGAGTAAAGTAGCCTCAGGAATGAGAAACTGATTAGTTCATTTAAAAATTGCTGTTTTGATGTAAGAACTTTCAAATTTGTCAGTGTAGTTGTGTATAAGCAGCTCAAATGTTTGTTACAGCTAGATGTATCTATCTATCTATCTATCTATCTATCTATATTTTAGAAGGCTAATAAGAATTTCCTAAAATAAAATTGAATAGTATTTTATTTTGTAGATATATATATGCAGTCAAATTTAAATAAACAAAAAGGGGGGGGGGGGGCTTACAATATTGGGGTGAAAAATCCTCTCAACCGAGATTATAGAAAGTAACAAACATAAACTGCTCTGTATTGACTGGTGTAAGACATTTAAAGTCCATTTGAGGAAAGAAAGGACTTTTCCATGCTTACTCTACAGTCTCTGCTGATGTGTAGCTAAGAAAAAGAGTGAGACTACTATATGGGAATTGTTGAATCACAGCATGAACTGCTGATTGATCACCTGAGGCAGGCACTGAGTCAGCCATGGGAGCACAGGTGAAGGCAATTCAGCTGTGTGACCGGAAGGGTGGAGCCTGGCTGCACCTCTCCTAGACCCCATTTAAGAGCTGACTGTCACTGGGAAAGGCTCTCTTCCTGGGGATTGCTCCCTTTCGAGTTTTTTTTCTGTGTGTCTAGGACACGAGTGAGTATTTAATTTATTTTTGATTGTTTCTTTTCAACGCAATAATTTTTCTAGTTATAGAACCTGTAAAATATCAGCCTAACCATGCCACTCTGTCATTTGTGTATTTGTTGAGTGTGCAGACTACAAAATCAATTATGAAAGTATACGGAACAATTTAGGGATTCACTGGGCATTCACATATGAGTCAAACTCATAGTCAAGGCAAGTATTATGAATTTTCTGTGAGTACCAGGCCTATTTTCTCTTCTTAGAACTGCAATGTTTTGTTCATCTAATTTGGAGGGTGTTCAACAACTCACCTAAATAGAGTTGAGGTTCTTTTCACTGTAGTTCAAACCCCTTGAAAGGCATCAGCTTCCATTAATCTCCCTGACTAATGGGAAAAGTATCAATGCCAGTGCCAAAGACATAAAATAATAGAGTTTTTAAATGAAGATGGCTTGTCCCTTCTCTGGGGAGTACTAATTCTGGATTTTTTTTTATTTACTTACATCAGATTGGTAAAACTGCTCAGAATCGAAGAAAATCAAGGTTTTTGGAGGTTTATTCAGTATTATAATGACCGCTCATTAAGGTCAACTGAATACAACTCTAAGATAATGTTTAAGAGAATAAACTCATTTTTCATGAGTTTGTTTGTATTGGCAGTATTGCTGTATGATGATATATGCTTAAAAACTGCATCAAGAGTGACTTTTTTCAAACTTTTTCAAAGGGTATATCTAATAAAACCCACTCTATGTGATTGGAAATGAATTTCCATTAGAAAGGGCAACTCATTTCTGAAATGATTTTCTGCAGTCTCAGATATTCTCATTGGTACTACTATAAGATGGAATTAATTAAGCATAGTACTCATAACAAGGATAATCTGTAGTTTACTTTGTATATCCTTTAGGTATGGCAACACCCTTTTCTGTGATAGAAGCACTTAAGTGCCATAAGTTTTTAATATGACAGATTTGGAAAAGACCTCTGCAATAAGCTATCAAGACCTGGTAGACGTATGGTTGCTCTCTGGTTTTAAGAAACTTTGAATGAATTAAGAAGCAATTTTGAAGTAATTACATAAATAAAATGGAAGTTGAAAGAGAGCTTGCAATCACTTCAGCTGAATTAAGAGAAGCCCTTTCTCCTCCTTATCATATATGTGTGCATAGAAGAGCAAGCTATGTATAAAGTTGCCCTGTTGGTAGTCAGGGATCATTTAACAGAATGAAAGCAGTTGAAATGAGTTTCCTCCAAACCATAATATGATATATTCCTGGGATGATTTGTTCTGATACATCAGGTTGAATCAATACCAAAATAAATATCATGTGTTTGGCTACTGAGATTCTTCTGTCATCTGCTGAGTCATTCCCAGATAACTAAATTGAACCTGAAATTCCAAATGTACTTTTTCAAGGTCTTTGTTCCGTAAAGCTTTGGATAAATCATTCTAAAATTGTGCTAATCTAGTGAATAAGCAAGACAACTTTAACTAGTACAGCTGCCCCCAACTCTTAATTTTCTACTCTTGAAAGTATTTATATAAAAATAATCATTCTTTTTTTTGAAACTGTGCAGCATTTATTAGAACAAAAATTCTAAAGACAAAACAAGCAAAATGGGCTGAAAACAAATGTCTTCCTGGTCGTACAATGTGCTTCCTCCCATAATATTTCAGGCCAGCAAATCTTCTCCGCCTCCTGAAACAACAAATGCCACATAACTCTACTGGTTACCTAAGGAAATCTCCTTTCCTGGGAAATGCCTTGTGCTCAGGCAGCCCAAGGATAACTCTCCTTATACAGGCTCTGCCCTACCTTCATTTCTACCTCCTTGTCACACCCTCCGCCCTGTAACACTCTCTCTCTGACTTTCTGAATAATGTGTAGCAGCCACAAAAGGAAAGCTTTTTTTACATGCTGCCTAGACTCAATATTATTAACAATATCTGATGTGTAATAAATAGTAAATGTTTTATTTTGCTAGT